ACATTTCATGGAGGAACATGCTTCCGTTGGATGAAGTAACCCCTGTCCATGGCCCTCACCTGTTCAGACAGGCTCCCTACTTACCCCATATGATTTATGAGTTAGGGAGTTTGCTTAAGTGCTGAAACGCAATGATGAAATGCACTCAGTCTTTATAGCATCCAGAATAGATTAGATTAGATAAACTTTATTGATCCCAGTGGGAAATTCTTGAAAATGCAGAGCTGCATCGGCAGCAATTGAACCAGGGCCTCTCAGATGGTGTGAGAATTCTACCACTGAACTACCAGTGCAAACAACAAGATTACAGCTCACTGGGACACAGCAAATCCCTCCCGTTCAGCCAAAGAGGGACTGAGGTGCTTCTTTACCATCTCACTCTACATCGGTGCTGCATGATTTCCGACATCTGATTGGTGGATTTATAAAAAGCAGACGTGTGTCCCTAAAGAGAGCCTGATGACTTCTGTGTGACACGTCCTCGCCAGACGTGCGGCTGAGCATGACTCAGGCAGCTTCTCCAGGGATGACACCGGCAGAGCAGCTCCACCCGCTTTCAATCATAAAAACTTCGGCGTATAAAATGGATTGTCAATTTCCGGCATCACTCCCCCTGCGGATGGCTGCCCCACGTTACTCACCCTGGGATCCCTCCTGCTTCCATCTTGTTGGCGACGGTGACGTCAGTGGACCAGACATCATACTGCCAGCGCTTCTGTCCCAGGACTCCCCCCAGCACGGTCCCGGTGTGCACGCCGACTCGCATGTCCACGTCCGTCTGGGTCTTCTCGCGCACGTACCTACAACAGGGAAGCAATGGCATCATGGAGATGCAGGTGGAGTGACTGGACAGATCTGGAAGCTCAGACTGTCCAGAGGGATGGTGCCCCCACAGTCTGTCCCTGCAAACAACAATGGATTTCATGTTGCTTGGCCTGACATAGTTAGTGTATGTCGGTTTGGGTGAACGGGTCCGTCAAGTTAAAAAATAATTTTATATATATATATATATATCCATCCATCCATCCATCCATCATCTCCCGCTTATCCGAGGTCGGGTTGCGGGGGCAGCAGTCTCAGCAGGGAAACCCAGACTTCCCTCTCCCTGGCCACTTCATCTAGCTCCTCCGGGGGAATCCCGAGGCGTTCCCAGGCCAGCCGAGAGACATAGTCCCTCCAGCGTGTCCTGGGTCTTCCCCGGGGTCTCCTCCCAGTGGGACATGCCCGGAACACCTCACCAGGGAGGCGTCCAGGAGGCATCCTGACCAGATGCCCGAGCCACCTCATCTGGCTTCTCTCAATGCGGAGGAGCAGCGGCTCTACTCTGAGTCCCTCCCGAATGACCGATCTCCTTACCCTCCTCCTGAATCCGAGGTGCGATAATCCCGCAGACCCTGCTCTCCAGAACCCCCGAATAGACCTTACCAGGGAGGCTGAGGAGTGTGATCCCCCTATAGTTGGAGCACACACTCTGGTCCCCCTTCTTAAAGATGGGGACCACCACCCCGGTCTGCCAGTCCAGAGGCACTGCCCCCGATGTCCACATGATGCTGCAGATGCGTGTCAACCAGGACAGCCCCACAGCATCCAGAGCCTTAAGGAACTCCGGGCGGATCTCATCCACCCCGAGGCTCGGCCACTGAGGAGCTTTGTAACCACCTCAGTGACCTCTGCCCCCGAGATAGGGGAGTCCCCAAGTCCCCATACTCTGCTTCCACATTGGAAAGCGTGTCGGTGGGATTGAGGAGGTCTTCGAAGTACTCCCTCCACCGACCCAAAATGTCCCGGGTTGAGGTNCTCCTCTCAATGCAGAGGAGCAGCGGCTCTACTCTGAGTCCCTCCTGAATGACCGATCTCCTTACCCTCCTCCTGAATCCGAGGTTTGATAATCCGGCGGACCCTGCTCTCCAGAACCCCCGAATAGACCTTACCAGGGAGGCTGAGGAGTGTGATCCCCCTATAGTTGGAGCACACCCTCTGGTCCCCCTTCTTAAAGAGGGGGACCACCACCCCGGTCTGCCAGACCAGGGGCACTGTCCCCGATGTCCACGTGATGCTGCAGATGCGTGTCAACCAGGACAGCCCCACAGCATCCAGAGCCTTAAGGAACTCCAGGCAGATCTCATCCACCCCAGGGCTCGGCCACTGAGGAGCTTTGTAACCACCTCAGTGACCTCTGCCCCCGAGATAGGGGAGTCCACACCCAAGTCCCCATACTCTGCTTCCACATCGGAAGGCGTGTCGGTGGGATTGAGGAGGTCTTCGAAGTACTCCTTCCACCGACCCAAAATGTCCCGGGTTGAGGTTTTTTATATATATATATAGGCTTGCCACAGGAGAGGATACAGTTGCTGTAGGACTCCCTTCCGAACTGTATATATATTCCGAATTATATATATATATATAATTACATACACATATTCAGTGACAAAAGAAATTGAAGAACCCAGACCGAGTGGTGGAAATGAAATGAATCTGCATGTGATGAAAGGTCATGTGACTGTATCGTAATGGATATTAGATCAAACAGGCAACAGAATTGGCAGTATGGGCACACTGCTGGTCCCATGTCAGTAGGGTATGGCACCCTCCCCCCCAGGCCTGGAAACAAACGCCATACAGTTCGGAAGGGAGTCCTACAGCAATTGTATCCTCTTCTGTGGCAAGCCTCAGACCGGCACTTGGTCTGAGTTGACGTCTGAGCTGATCCCGCACATGTTTGACTGGGGAAAGATCGGGGGACCTGGCTGGCCATGGGAGGATCTCAACATGACGCAGGCAGTCCATAGACACACACACCGTGTGTGGATGAGCGTTGTCTTGTTGAAGGGGGGGACCAGGGTGCTGTCTCAGGAGGGGTAAGACATGCGGACGCAGGATGTCACTGACGTAGTGCTGTGCCGTCAGGGTCCCCCAAATCACTACCAGAGATGACTTGATGTCATACCCTATGGCTCCCCACACCTTGATGCCAGGAGTAACCCTGGTGTGTCTCTCTACAATATTGGCAGGATTGGTCCTCTCCCTTGGCGCCACCATGCACGCACACACGCACGCACACACGCACGCACACACGCATGCACGAACGCACGCAATGGTCATCCATGGTAATGCAGAACTGAGATGCATGGCTGAACACAATACAACGCCAGTCATCATCAGTCCATGCCTCCCAGTTATGGTACCAGTCCAAACACAGCCGTCTCTGCGCCGGTGTTAACGGCAACCTACGCATGGGATGGTCAACCCGTAGTTTGGCTGATGCCAGTCGTTGAGACACAGTGCAGGATGACATGGGGTGTTGTAGAGAATCCAATACCTGTGTCTGGATGGCAGACGCAGATGTCATGGGGTTCTGTAATGCTTGGTGCAAAATACAATGATCCTCCCTTGGTGTGGTCTGACTTTGGCGACCAGAACCTTCATAACGTTCATGTGCCCATTGGATCCAACATCGGGCGACTTTGACATCTGCATGCCCCACATGCCGGGCAATTGCACGATACGACCATCTGGCCTCATGCAAACCCACAATGTAACCCCTATCAAACTCCATCAGGTGCTGGTAATGCTGTCTAATACACATCCTCTGTGTCTGGTGACTAGACGTGCCAGCTAGATGATCATCACTTCTGGGCTCTTAACTTTATTTGTCACTGAGTGTGTGTGTGTGTGTGTGTGTGTGTGTGAGTGGGTATACCTTACCTTATGGGGACACAATGTCCCCACAACGTGATGAATATACGTTTTTCTTCCCTTATCGAGATCAGTGTCCTGGTCCCCATATGGGAAAACTCAATTTAATAAAAATCTGTGACTCCAATAAAAAAACTAAAAATGCAAAAAACTGTTGTATTTTGCTTGCTTACTTATGGTTATGGTTAGGGCTGGGTAGGGGTTAAGGTTGTCATAGTCAGCTTTAGCATTTTTTCCATAGAAATGAATGAGCAGTCCCCACAAAGACATGTTTACCCGACGTATGTGTGTGTGTGTATATGTATCTCAGGGGACACATGTAAAGTGAACTTTGTCCCAAAGTGACGGCATCAGCAATCCGTGGCAGCATGGTGTGGTCTGTGAACGTGGCCTCCTTCTCATAAAACAAGCTTTATTCCTCCCTGGGAGACACAGATTTACGACCTAAATGACCTTTAAAAAGTTTCAGTGCTTCTGAATGAAACGATGATAGATGACAGGCCCTTTTCAGGGTAGATTCTCATGCAGTGGGTGCCGGTGATTTTGGGGTTAGGGTTAGTTACTAGCATTAGAAGATTAACTGGACCTCTTAACATTAAAATTGGTTGACGAGCACCAAGACATCCTGTCCCAGGGTCAGTCAAACAAGACAAGACAAGGTTCACAGGATTTATCGGCTTTGAATAAACCCTCTTTAGTTTGCAGTAGTTTAATATTTCTTTTGTGCTTTATATTTTCAATAATTGCACGTGAATATCCTTTTTCATGAATCAAATTTAACGCACATACTGTTATATCGGAATGAGGAATACAGCCATCTTATATGAAGCCGAACGGCACCAGCAGAAAGACTGTGATTTATTTGAGACAGACAGCTCACTCTGTCCTGAAAGGCATTATGGGAGGTACTCACGAGATGGCCTCCACCATGGCGAGGCCCATCATGATGGAGCAGGCGGCGTGGTCCTCGCGGTAGTCCGGCAGACCGCAGATGCAGTAGTAACAGTCGCCCAGGATCTTGATCCTCAGCTGGTGGTATTTCTGCATGAAAAAAAGGTGGGTGTGCAGAGATGAGAAAGTGCTAAAAAGCTAAAAGCTAACTGGAGAAAGAGGGCAATGTGTGGCTCAGTGGCTTAGGATGCCGTGTCTGGGATCGGAAGTTGGTGATTCAACTCCCAGGGCTGGCTGACTGATTTCATTGTTTGGCCCCTGAGCAAGGTCCTATATCCTAATGGCTGTTGGGACAGTCTGACGCTACTTTCTTAAATGTATATTGCTTTTAAAAAAAGCATCTGCTAAAATAAAAACCAGTCCCTAGCAGTGACCTAATGAATGGACAAATGGTTGCAGAGACGGTCAAAGACAGCATGGCGGACTGAGTGTGGACACGGCGTCAGAGAGCTGCCTGTCTGTACGTCACACAGGAGAAAATGAGACTCACAGCAGCCAGCTTGTCGAAGCGAGCAAACAGCTCATTGAGCAGCTTGACGAGTTCCTGCGCACTGCACGCTGAAGACAGCTGCGTGAAGCCGACGATGTCCGCAAAGAGGATGCTGTAGGACATGGAGGGGGTGTGACATGGGAAGAAGGCCGGGGGAGAGGGCTACATTATGTGGCTGAGGAACCAAACATCAGAAATCATCTCAGGCTGCACACCATCATAATACCAGACCCAGTTTTAGCCTCACGCTACTCACTGCTTGGTCAGCATGGTCCTGCCAACAGCCCTTAATAGCTGTTAATGAGACTGCAGCCAGCGACCGAACATAGTGAGAACTCCCAGAACGTGCAAGTGTGAACCCATTATTTATGCTTTCACTCTTGTAACATTCTTGCTGTTGTGACGTCTCCCTGACATTCTCCTGACACTCTCCTAATGTTCCTGCTGTTGTAACATCTCTGTGACGTTCTCCTGACACTCTTCTAATGTTCCTGCCGCTGTGACGTTTCCATGATGTTCTCCTGACACTCTCCTGCCATTGTGACATCTCCATGATGTTCTCTTTACGCTCTCCTAACGTTCCTGTTGTTGTTACATTTACCTGACGTTCTCATGGCGATACATGTACATGGTGTTGAATTGCTGCACCTCCTTCTGGCTGGCCTCCTTCTGGCTGGCCTCCTTCTTCATACCACGAAGCATCTCATCGGCAATATGCTTCGGCAGGATGGACAGCAGCAAACCCTCCTGTGGACAGGAACATGTCCATCCCATGGAGGACTGTGAGTTTGCATGGCAGTGTGTGTGTGTGTCTGGAGAACGACAGGACATAGGATAGCTCATTTGCAGACATGATTCGCTCAAAAATCGACAAGCTTTCCTTGACAGGATGATAAAAACCACGAGGCTGCAACCCTGTGAATAACCTGGTAGTGAAGGACAGCAGAGAATGAGTGGAATCAATACTGATGAGAAACAGAGGGGGAGAAACCAATGAAGCAGGGAAAGGTAACATAGCAGTGCGTGACACCCCGGCCTGTATAGGATCTACGGTGGCTGGAAGAGCCTGGAGCATTCACACCGAGAGGCATCCCCAGACCGTGACAATGCCGCAGTGAGGGAAACAAAAGAACAAGACTCTGCAGCTCCATCTTCTCTGGAGGCTGGTCGCCATGGTGATCTACAGCGTGGGGTGCGTTACGATTGGCCAGCTGCACCCGTCTGACAGCAGCCCCAGCTTCCCCATTAGTATTCTGGGAGTTTGTCGCTCTCTCCCTGGCAGAAAGTGTATCATAAATAGCACCAATCAGAGAGGTTCCTGGTCTCTGGTGGGAGACATGGATGCGAGAGAGCAGCTTCGCTCGGGGGCATCGGGAGACACCAGGAATCCCTCTGAATGCCAGCTAACCTCCAACTCCACCCAAATCCTATCTATCTGTCAATTATCTCCTAACCATCCGTTACCTACTGCTGCACCCTCTGTGTAACTAAATCTCATCCCTCATACTAATTGCTAACCCAATTCAGTCTTAACTCACATTATTTCCTAACCCTAACTTCTGTTAGCTCCTCACCTACCTCCAGTCCTACCTCCTGCTAAGTAACTCCAGAGCCAGTCGTACCTCCTGCTAAGTAACTCCAGAGCCAGTCCTACCTCCTGCTAAGTAACTCCAGAGCCAGTCCTACCTCCTGCTAAGTAACTCCAGAGCCAGTCCTACCTCCTGCTAAGTAACTGCTGAACCAGTCCTACCTCCTGTTAAGTATCCCCTGAACCAGTCCTACCACCTGCTAAGTAACTCCTGAGCCAGACCAAACCGTATTTTCTTAAATAGCAACATGAAGTAGGAAAGAAGAATGTTTATGAAGTAAATGTTGAACATGTATGCATAAGCAGCACTATTTTTACTATACTAGAAGGCTTCTTGTTCTTGGCCATTAAAATGACTGCGCTCCGTGTTATTAGGCCACGCCCATGCCAGCGTTTGCCCTTCCTCCCCAGCCTTGTAACAGTGCATAGGCCACGCCCATGCCAGCGTTTGCCCTTCCNCCCCAGCCTTGTAACAGTGCATAGGCCACGCCCATGCCAGCGTTTGCCCTTCCTCCCCAGCCTTGTAACAGTGCACTGTCTTTATTTGCTCCTTAATTATTTGGTTTTGGCATAAGGGCCCAGCTTTTAAAATGTACACCTGCCAGCAAAGTTAATAGTTAAAACATGTATTTTTAAAAACAAATCTCCATGCTTGGAAAAACAAGATCACAAAGGCACCAAATACCATCATAATCCTATCAGAAGAAACTGAAGGAAAAACTGGCCACTTCAATACCCCCGGATTATAAAACTTGGCATAAAAAAGCCCCCTTGCATTAGGAACAAACTGATGGAACCATTTTCTACAGCTGTATAGACACTGCACTGATACGCTGAAGTCTGCTTGTTTCGATGGCTTGGAGCTGAAACGTTCCTGAATATCTCCTGAACCACTCAGGGTAAAACCTGAGCTCTTTAAAAACTGATCGCCTGAGCTGCTGAACGTAAACAAGTGGCATCATTAATGTGTCAGATTATTACAAATGCATCTCAGAAGTAATTGAGTGTTCTTGGACCAGGAAGAAAATGTTGGAGAGAGTTTCAGCCAGGCCTGGCTCAAGTTCTGAGACATGAAGGGGCGCAGGACTCTCTGGAGTTTGTAAGACTTCAAAAAGTCCTTCACATTTTTTTGGCTTCCACCCTATTCACAATAACAAAACAGCAATCCGGAGATTGGCTGGCATGTGGCCTGTCTGGGGGGTGGGCTGAACCCGGGTCTGGTCAGGCCCAGGCCCACCCAGGAGGCCCCATGGAGCCGGGCCTGGTTTCACTTTCAGACACTGGCTTTTGGAAGGAACCCCAATGAAGACAAACACAATTCAGTATTTCAGGAGTCAGGCCTCTGCACGTTCTGTCTCTCCTGCTGAGTGTAGAGCTGGATGGTGCTGCCCTGTCTCTCCTGTAGGGATGCAGCAGATACATAAACTCCCAGAAGTCTGCAGCTATTCAGTGTGTGTATGTATAACCAATGTACATAAATAAATATATATGTGTATTCATCCATCCATCCTTCTTAAAACCACTACTCCCAAGCCTAGGGGGGGGCTGGAGCCTACCTCAATTTGGGGTACAACCTGGATGGGATGCCAGTCCATCTCAGGGTAGTTGGGGGTGTAGTGAAGGAGATGGGAGATACAGATTCGGGAATGTAGAAAGAGCTGGCAAACGGCCAAGGAATCACGGCGGAGAGTGATGCCACAGGGACCTCAGCCTGGGAGGTGTCCAAACCAACAAGGCAGAGTGGACGCGACACCATTAGGCTACGACCACCTCGGTGACGTCGCCCGGGACGCGATATCAGACAGCATGTGACAGCACGGCCGTTGGCTCCACTTATCCTCTGAAGCCAAAACACGCGAATGACGACAACGACGTCGGCAAGCAGAGGGGAAAACAAGGCTAATTACAGCAGCACACAGAGTGCCTGGATGGCTCCACCGGAGGTAATGGGGCACCTGGGCTATGAGCCCAGCTCCTCTAATTAATTCCCCCCAGCTGATTTTTAAAATAGTCCTGTCCCTCTGTTGTCTCCTTTCCAGTGAGCTTCAAGTCAAATTAAGCTCTAAATGGGAAGACAGTAAAAGCTTGCTCACAAGGCCCGTGTCGTGCCGGGAAGTTCGACAAAGACGCGGAAAGATCCAGATCCCCCCCAGGGAGCACGGTACCCTGCTCTGTGACTGGAGCATCATCAGGGCAGCACTTTAGAGTCCAAAATCTTCAATTACGAAACAAACAAAGCGTCTCATCTCAAAAAAGAATGTCTCTTTTCAGATCAGTTAAAGCTGAGGTATCAAAATTTGACAATGACCTGTTATTGACTGTTATAAGCCATCTGTCATCAAAAGACTGGCTTCTTTTTAGAATAAAAAAGGTGCCTTAATGAAAATGTCAAATGTACAGTCCTATAATAGTGATATTAAGGTTTTGGTAAGTTACATCTAACCAAGCAACTGGCCATACTGTTATGCTGGTATGATTCATAATTGTTCAACCATTTAAACAAGGCGGCATCTTTTCACCTCACGTGATTCCTCTTCTGAATATCCTCTATCTATGATTCCTGCTTCATATCAGTGACCCCAAAAACAAACATGACTCCTGCTTGATAGTGATGACTCCATAAACAGACACGCCTCCTTCTTCATGTAAACAAACATAATTCCTGCTCCACATCTATGACTCCAAAAATAAACATGACTCCTGCTTGATAGTGATGGCTCCATAAACAGTCATGACTCCTGCTTCATATCGATGACTCCTGCTTCATATTTGATTCAATAAACACTGGTGTGTTCAACGCGGTGCATTCAGCGTGGTGCGTTCAGCGCGGTGAGTTCAGCGCGGTGTGTTCAGCGCGGTGAGTTCAGCCCGGTGTGTTCAGCGCGGTGTGTTCAGCGCGGTGAGTTCAGCGCGGTGAGTTCAGCCCGGTGTGTTCAGCGTAGTGTATTCAGCCCGGTGTGCTCAGCGTGGTGTGTTCAGCGTGGTGTGTTCAGCGTGGTGTGTTCAGCGTAGTGTGTTCAGCGTGGTGGGCCCCTACAGGCGACGGTCCCCTACAGGAGATGGCTTACCTGCTGCTGACTCTGCTCCTCCAGGTTTAGCTTGACCTCGAGGGACTGCCGTGCTTCCAGGAAGGCCTTGCGGTGTTTGCGGTCAGCCATGTAGTACGACATGACCCCGACCGTAATGGAGCACAGGTAAACCGTCATGTTGGCCAGGAGCTGCAATACGCAGACACACGTGGTCACATGAGAGAGACGTCTCACGCAGGTGTGGGCTGTCAGTCCATCTCCCAGCACTCTGCCAGGACCTGCGTCTGTCCCAGCTAACAAACTTTCAGCTGTGTCTGTGTACAGGCAGCTCTCGACATACTTAAGTTATCTGTAATACGTAATAAGTAATACAAAATAAAGAACATATTAAATAAATGAAAAGATAATGCATGAATCTGAATTAAATTTAAATGAAGGAGCACATGGATGCTTTGTGCTGCTACCCCTGTGCTGACAGCTGGACTTTGGTTCTGTCCCTGCAGCGATGACACGCACGCATGCGCATCCCCCCGAGCAGCGTCTCAAACAGGCGTGGACGGTGCTCGGGCTGTTTACGTTTCCAGGAGGCCTTGTAGGAAACACCCATTTTGAATCCAGTGTCAGTCACAAACAAGCTCATGGGAGTTTCACTTACACAAAAATGTTCTGAAGGCAGAACAAAAAACAACTGATTCAGAGAGACAACCAATCAGATTGCAGAGGATAACCAATCAGATGTCTTGGACCCACCTCTTCTACAATATGATTGGTTATCTCTTTGAACCAATCATTTTTTGTTCTACCCTCAGAACATTTTTCGTGTAAGTAAAACTCCCACGAGCCACAAACACCCTCCTCCATCCTGCTGGTGTTCAGTCACATGCTACATTTCACCACCTCTCTGCTACCATGCCAGTCACACACTATTTAAATTCCATTTACTTGGCGAATGCTTTTATCAAAAGCAACGTACAATCGAGAAATTAGGCTCAGCCAGTCTCCAGAGCAACTGCGGGTTAAGGACCCTATTCAGGGGTCCAATGGGGAAATCACTTTGATCACTTTTGGGTTTTGAATCAACAGCCTCCTGATCACAGTGTCCTAAACCACTAAGCCCAACAGTCTACCACCCCTGGAGCTCAACTCATCAGGTATGATTCCTCTATAAACAAAGTGGTACGAAAACAAACACCCATCTGCCGGAAAAAAGGAGGGACGGTGCCGGGAGGTCACCCACCTGCCTGGCCAGCGCCTCCCCACGGAGGTTATCCTGCTGCTGCTGAGCGATGGTCACCCCCAGCACCAGCGTGTGGATACCGCAGGAGACGGCGGCGATCAGGACGATGGGGGTCAGACGGAGTGGCAGAGTCAGGAAGAAGGAGAACGTGAAGAAGGCCTGCCATCCTACCGTGTCGCTAGCCTGATGGAAGCGGGCGAAGTTCAACCCCAGGTAGGAGAAAACCTGGGCGGCGATGAGCACCCAGAGGGTGTAGGGCACCACCCTGCGGGACACGCGGTCGGGGAGCAGCCCCAGCCGGCACAGCAGGTAGAGCAGGACGTGAGCGGCCAGGCCCACCGACGCCACCACCAGGGTGGCCAGCTTGTCGTCGGTGTAGACCACGGCACACATGACGATGACGTAGCAGTCGAAGAGTGCCGCAAACACCACCAGCACCAGCAAGGTCTCGCGCCGCTGCCTCCGGAAGTAGGTCTGGTACAGGTTCTCCAGCGAGTCCGGCGAGAAGGTGAGCCGCATGAAGCGCGGCAGGCATATGCAGCACCCTGTGCTGCGCACTGTCACCTCCTGGGCCCGGCCCACCGCCTGGCCCGGGTCCGACGGCAGCGTCACCGAGCAGTCGGCCGAATACTCAGCGGAGCACTCCGGCTCTGAGAAGGCCCGGTTCCGGGGCATTTCCAGTCTCCCTGGTATCTTCGCTTTTCTTCAAACAGGGAAACTGTCCTAGGCTCTGGCAGAGTTATGGAAATTACTAGAAGGAGAATTCAGCGTTGTCTAAGAGCCTGGCGTCCCCGCTGGCCACGCCGGCCCATCCGCATGCTGTCCATCCGGCAGGGACATGGTGCTGGAAAGCCCGGTCCGGCGTGGTCCCCGCTGTCAATCTGTGTATGTGAAACAGATTTCAACTGCGATCAGCGGTGACTGTGCGCCAATGTCTCACCCGACTCTCCACGCCGCATCCCACAAATAGCTAATGGAAAGATAAGCACCTAAAAATGTTTTAGATGAAATACGGAGCAGTGCTCCCTGTCACATTACCTGTCTGGCTTTTACCGAGCGCGACTCGGGCTGCTGCGGTGCCGTTTTTATGCGCCGCACACCCGGATCACGGCGACAGCCGTCGCCGCTGCCCAGATCAAAATGCAAATTACCGGGTAAAATCATTCACGTCCGCGGCTGTAGCGCCTGCGGCACGTCGTGTCCTGACCGGAACATGGAGTCGCGTTGCCGGCGGTATCTGACAGCCCAATCCGGGGTGATATGGAGCCGGAAGGTTCCGGGTAAATAAATGCTATGAAGCAGCTGTCGGACAGCGGTCTGCTTTAATGTCTTCCCCCGACACAAAGCGCTGGAGAACCGGGCGAAGGTGCGCCCCCGGCTCCCCCCAAGCCTTCCTGCACAGCCCTGGCCGGGGGCACGAGGATGCCCGGCGTTATTTATACGTGAAAATAAACCAGTAAAGCGGCTGCTAATATGCTTTATCTGATCAATAAAAGCATAATTCTCAACGGCGTAACAGAAATTCAGTGAAGCGATATAGAGCCTCTCCAAGGATGTAGCGATCGCCCCCGCCTGCTGCCTCACAGTCCTTCGGTGTAAAATCCATCTTTGACACCTTTAACACTAACAGTGTAACAGAATAACAGTGTAACAGTGTGTATGTGCGGATGCACTGTTCCTGTTTACCGTGCCTCAATGTGCAGTAGTCGTTCCCCCGGCAGCGGCTACCGCCCGTCGGCTTCAGCTTCAGCACACAGGTACACGGACACATGGCGCGGAGCTTCCATCCTCCCGAAAGGGCGAGAAAACGGCCATGGAAACGTGGCCGGGGCGTCCGGGACCCCTGATGATTCCCTTGATCTGCTGCACACCTTCAGCCGCACAAATCACCACCGCCTCTCTCTCTCTCTCTCTCGCTTTCTGCCTATGTTTGTTTCTCTATCGTTTTTCCTTCTCTATCTCGGTATCTCCCCTTTCATTTCTCACCCAGGTGTGTTTTTCTGCTATGATACAGGCTTGCTGCTCGACGAAAGTGCGGTAACAAATAGGCCTACAATAAGACATTTCTCAGTTTCTCATAATCAATATATAAATAACATGGCATAAGAGAAATAATTTTAAATCGTTTCCCCTGTGCTGTCATTTTTAAATATAAGTGAAGTAGTCTGATATTAACCAGCTAAAACGACAGAAGTCGTATATGCAAGGCAGAGCTATAATGTAGCAGAGCCTATGTGTATTTACTGAGGTCCCAAGGTGGATGAGAGTGTTAACAGCACAGGACCTCATCAGAGTCCTCACAGGACCTCAGAGGGACCACACAATGAGGCAGAGGAGGGCCCAAAGCATGGGCGGCCAGTGAAGGCGGGGGAGGAGATGAGAGGGATCATCTGGATCCAGGAAGTCCATAAGAGACCTGGAAGAAAGCTGGTCATTTATACAGATGTGAATGAGTTGTACATTTAAAAAGTTTATTCTAGGTCCTGTAAGTAATCATCGCTCAAAAAATTCTACATAACTATTTCATTTAGTCTGGAGTTTCTGTATGATACAGTGCATTCAGACTCCTTCACATTTTTGACCTTTCTCACATTTTGTTATGTTGCATCCACATGCAAAAATCTTTTTAATTTATTTCTCCTCATAAATCTGCACTGTCTTTTAAGTGAAAACAGCATTTTAGACATTTTGGTAGATTTACTGAAAATAAAACACTAAGGCATCACATTGACATAAGTATTCAGACCCGTTGCCATGATACTTGAAATTTAGCTCATTTTCCTGCGGAGCACAGATACGGGATTTACACGGAGGCACAGGTCCAGGGAAGGCCACAAAACATTCAGCAGCATTGACGTTTCCTGGGAGCACAGTGGCCTCCATAATTCTAAAATGGAAGAAGTTTGCAACAACCGAGAGCCTTTATAGAATTGGTAAGTGACAGAACCTAGAACCCGATGGTTATTCTGGCTGAGCTCCACAGATTCTGTGTGAAGATGGGAGAGAGAGCAACCATCACTGCAACACTCCAGTGATCTGGGTTCTATGGCAGAGTGACCAGATGAACACATGAAAGCTCACTTGGAGTTTTCAAAAAGGCACATAAACGACTCTCTGGTTTGATGAAACCAAGACTGAACTGTTTAGCCTCAGTTCTAAACATCACGTTCGGAGGAAATCAGACAGTGTTCATCAGACGCACGATGGGGGATGGAGCAAAGAGTTAGGCTCCAGAACGTTCTGGACCTCAGACTGTCCTGAAGGTTTGCCTTCCAGCAGGGCAATGACCCTAAGCACAAGCAAAGCCAATGTAGGAGCGATTTAGGGACATCTCTGTGAGTGTCCTGGAATGGCCCAGGCAGAGCCCAGACTTGAACCTAGTTAAACATCTCTGGAGGGACCTGAAAATAGCTGTCCACAAACAGTCCCCCTGCAATCTGAGAAAGCCGAGGAGGACCTGCAGAGAGGAATGGCAGAATGCCCCAAAATCCAGGAGTGCAAAGCTTGTCACTTTATACTCGAGCGAACTCGACGCTTTCATCGACGCCAAAGGTGCCTCAACAAAGTACTGCGTAAAGGGTCTGAATACTTATGTCAATGTGATGTTTCAGTGTTTAATTTTTAAAAAAATTAGCTAAAATTTCTAAAATCCTGTTTTTGTGTTGTCATTAAAGGGTATTGA